GTCCCCAAACTGCTTCATCACGGAACCGGTGATGAGAAAGGCGAGTGGCCGGGAGGGTCCGCCGCGCCGTCCTACTGCAGCAGCTTCGGCACCTCCACCTGCCCGAGAAGACACCCCGTTACTGGGGGGGGAAGTGGGGAAAGGGGGTCCTTAGAGTCCCAGGGACATCCCTTCTTCTTGGTGGTCCCCACATGGGTGGGGGAGATGTTCCTCTTGGGCCACTCTGGGCTATCTCACCCCACAACGTGGTGGCCAGAGCTCGGCGGGGACACGGGGGAACGTGGGAGGGTGTCAGCCACCATCAGCATGGCCCCAGGAGGTCTTGGATTTCCAGCCCTTGGGGTCACAGGTTAAAGGTGACGTTTTCCTTGTGTCCTGAACCCCAGAGGCCAACTTGACCGCTGGGGTGAAGTGGGTCTGCCCACCCCAGGGGGTCTGCCAAGGGATGGATCATCTCCTATTGGATGTTCTACCAAAGGATGGAACATCTCCCATTGGATGTTCTACCAAGGGATGGATCATCTCCCATTGGATGTTCTACCAAGGGATGGATCATCTCCCGTTGGATGTTCTACCAAGGGATGGACCTGCTGACCCCACCTGCTCTGCAAGGGATGGTGCAAAAGGGATGGATCTGTTGGGACAATGGGCACCGCACTCCCTACCCTGCACCGGAGAAGGACAGCGCTCATCTTGCTGCTACCCAAGTGACCTCAGATCTCAGCCCACAGACTAACCCTGTGGGTGGACCCCACCGTGACCCAGCACTTGCCTTCTTGAGCTGTTTGAGGTTGCTGGAGCGGATGGCTGCCAGGAGCTGGTCCCGTGAGTTCTTCTCCTGGACCGGCAGCGCCCGGTCTCCCAATTTCCTCTGCGTTGCCGGTGAGAGCGAGTTCCTCAGGTTCTCATTGATTAGCGGTGGGGCGAGAGGAGGAGGAGGTGGGGGCGGCGCGGCGGGTGCCCCGCCTTTCTTGGGAGAGCTTTTGGGGGAAGCCTTGGGTGATGGCTGCGGGGACGGCTTGGGGGAGCCCTTCGGCAGGGCTCCGGGCTTGGGCACCTCCAGGAGGTCTTTCTTCTCCCCACGCTCCTGTGCCAGTTTCTGCTCCTGGAGGCGTTTCTGCCTCTGTTTGTCCATGTTTCGGCTCAGCAGGTTGGTGACCGTCATGCGTGGTCCGGCCAGCTCGAAGTGGTAGCCCAGCTTCAAAAGCGTGGTGTTCTCCTTGAGCAGCTTGGCGATCTCCATCTCCGTCTTCCCGCCGCAGATGTGCCGCTGGTTGTGGAAGCGCAGCTCTGTCAGCGTGTTGTTCTGCAGCAGCGCCCGGAAAATGGCCAGGATGCCTTTGCCCGTGATGTGGTTGGAGTCCAGGTTGATGCTCGTCAGCACCTTGTTGGACTTCAGCATGATGGCGATGGCGAAGGCCACGTGGTCGTCGGCACGGGTGTTGGCCAAGGCGAACAGCTTGACCACGGTGTTGAACTCCAGCGCCTCGGTGAAGCGCACCAGGGTCTCGTTGTTGATGCAGTCCGAGTTGTTGACGTTCACCTCGGTGACCTCGGCGTCGTTGTTCTTGACCTTCTCGATGAGCTCATCGAAAATGCTGGAGGCTTCATCGTCCTTGGCTTGATCCGAGGAGCTGCTGCTGGTGGGCTTGGAGGGGCTGCTCTGTTTCTCCTCCTTTTCTGTCTCTGGCGGGGATTTCTCCTTCTCGTCTGCCTTTGATTTTTTCAAAGCTGAACTCTTTTCGTCTTCTTTTTCATCTTTTTCTTTCTTATCTTCTCCTTTTGTGTCTTTTTCCACCTGTTTCTTTGTCCCTGAACTCTTCTCATCCTCCTTTTTGTCTTTCCCTGTGCCCTTCTTCAATGCTGAATCCTTTTCTGCTTCCTTTTTGTCCTTCCCTGGCTCCTTCTTTGCTGCTGAGCTCTTCTCCTCTTCCTTTTTATCCTTCTCCTCTTCCTTTTTACCCTTCTTTTCTTCCTTTTTACGCTCCTCTTCCTCCTTTTTATCTTTCCCTGTGTCCTTTTTCAACACTGAGCCCTTTTCTTCCTCCTTTTTGTCCTTCCCCGTGTCTTTCTTCGACACCAAACCCTTCTCTTCCTCCTTTTTGTCCTTCCCCATCAGCTTTTTCTCCATGGCCTTGACCTTATCGTTGATAGCCTTCTCCTCTTTGGCCTTGGTCTCAGCTTCAGCTTTAACTTTTGTGTCTGTTTTGGGAACACTTTCTTCCTTTTTAACATCCTTCACCGCTTTGGTGCCTCGTTTCCGGGCCAGGTCTTTAGAAGGAGCTTCCTTTCCCTTTTCTTCTTCATTCTTGTCTCCTTTATTCTTCTCGCTCAATCTGCTCTCCTAACAGGGGAAAAATAAAAACCACAAGGTGTTACAGATACCTCCAACCCCCCACCTTGCCACCTCAATCTCATTGTCATGCTGGGGCAGCCACAGAGGACAGCGACCACGGGACACACGGGATGCAGAAAAATCTGATCTCAGAAGGTCTTTGACTACGCCCGTGAGGGATGAGTTGCCTCAAACCAGGTATTTCTGCTGCAAAACTGGTGAAGGCATCACACGGGGTCTCCAGGAGGTGTCGTGGGGAGCAGGAGGACAGCCAGCGCTGGGGGACACTTGCGACCAGGACTCTCCAGGGAGGTGACCAACCTGCTCCAAACAATGATGGTTCAGCCCTGGAGAGCAGCCAAGGTCTCCTCCATCTCGCACGGGTGATTCACCCCAACACGTTCACACACTGCAGCCCGTGCCTGGGCTTTGGGAGAGGAAAGTTCAACCCGGAGGAGGTCCTGGGTCTGGGAAAGGGCTCAGCGCCTGAGCACCCCGAATGGAGGCTGAGCTGAGGTCCTGCTGCAGCTCCCCAAGGTGTCTCTGCTTCTCCTTCTGCCTCCCGACCCTTCCTGAAGGGCTCCAGTGGTCACTGGGATGCCAGGATGGGCAAAGCAGGGTCGCCACAGCCAGAACCGCCCGTGCCGGGATCGCTCTGTGCCAAGAAGTCACTCAGCGGTGCTGTGCGTCTCTGGAGTTCCTTCTTTCATCTCCAACACAGCGAGCATCACTGCTTTCATTTTTATTGCCTCCTTCCATACTGCCTCTCCAAAAGCCACTTTTACCTTCATTTTCCTGCTTTTTGCAGTCACCTTTGTAGGACTCCGAAGCGCAGGAGGAGCTCAGTCTGGCTTTCGGCTCTCCAACTCTCACCTTCCGGCAGTGGCTGCATCCTCCCCGCGTGTAGAGGGATGCGACCCCGAGGCTTGGTGGCTGGTTTCTTACAAACTTACAGACCAAATCCTCTGGCAGCAAAGGGTTTTCCTCCTTCCCTCTATGCTCTAGGGCCATTTGATCATCTTGCCTCTTGTTAGCCGCACCTTCTTTTCATGTAATTTTTGGTACTTTCTCAAGCACCTGAACCTCACCCGTGGTGGTGTCCTGAGCCACAGCACCACAGCCGGCACCAGCAGCTCCAGGACACCCAAACGCCTCGCTGCAGCCTTCACCTGTGGCTGCCGGGGTCAGGAAGGGTCTCCCATCGGCATCGTTATGACACGTTCTGCCTCCACAACCAAGATGTTCGGTAAGAGCAAGGCACCGAGGCAGGATTCATGGCCCCCAACATCTGACGTGAAACTCCTCCGCTCCCAGCATTGGAGGGGAGCCAACACTACGAACACATAAACCGAAGACGGACGAACCCTTCACACTGGGACAAATTTTGCTCTACAAAGGAGGGTCCTACCATAAAGTCTGCACCGGGGTTTGGCGGTTTGGACCTCCTTCTCCTGGCTCCGCAGCTGGAGAGGAAGGAAGATACCTCAGAGATGCAGCTGTGACATCTTTACAACCTCCCTGGACCCTCTCAGGGCTGGGACAGCACCGTGGCTTCACCCACTGCCTTGAACCCCCAAACTGGAGCCCAGTCAGGGCTGGACACAGGTGTCTGCCCCCAGCCCAGGGCCCCGTGGTGTCCGCACCGAGGGGGAGCGTGACACTGCTGCCTCTTGGGGGCTGCTTTTTTTCTGTGGAAAGAACTGGCCTGGCAGCCGCGGGGACTGTTTGTACCTGGCGTATAAACAGATGCCATCTGGGAGGACTGAGCTGTTTATTTAGCTAAGAGATTTCTTGGCTCCTCTGCGCAGACCTAACCAGGTGACAGAAAGGCACGTG